TCTTCAGCTGATGTACATAATTTATACCTTTTTGTATTTTTAAACCAAAACGAACAAATATTATTTTTTCATGAAATAACCTTTTTTGAAGAAACTGCATAATTAATGGTAAAGAATTTTATATTATTTAGAAAGTACAAGTTATTATCTTTAATTCGATATTACATATTTTATCATGATCTACTTTTGGGTTTCAACAATTTAGTGATAATAAAAAATATCTTCTTTTTTTTACCTGCGCCAAATAAATTTGGTATCGTTGAAATCAGCGTAAAAAGTTCTTTCAATCGGCATTTTTGGTTATTTTATAGCTAAACGGTCGCTATTCTATACTTGTTCTAGAAAATTACGCAAACGAAGGTGACGCCAACGAATATTTAGTATGAATTATTTTTGGTTTTACTACTAATATCACTAGAAACTATAGAGTAAGCAACATTCTGCACAAGTAAAGGAGCCGATTTTATGTGTGGGAGCGAGAAGACTGTTTTTTATAAGCTTTTATTTAACTTGGTCATCCCGCGCAAATCGCGGAAATTTCCAATCGATTTTAAACTGACTTCCCGACAAGTTAGAGACTTGAAATTTTCAGCATAGTTCCAATCACGATGACAATGCAATTTAAAATATAAATGAATTCCCCATATGGTCCAGGGGTCTTGATTCAAAGGCGGTCAAAAAATAGTAAGATTTATGGCTAACAGAGCGTATTTTAGCAAGGAAGGTAAAACCACTATAAAATTGTTAAAGCTGTCGGCGATAGTGTAGCTAAGCTACTTGTGGCAAATTCTGATATCAACCTAGTCTAGATATGAACCTCGTTGTAAGAATTAGAAGACTCCAGATGTCGCCCCGACAGAAGAAGTTAAATATTGCGCCTAAATATATGCCAGGCTACAACGGAAATGGACGACACGCCATTTCTTTAAATAAAATTAACTGCTGCTATATGTACATATGTATGTTTATACAAACCATAAGCAAACATTTTGCTTACCAAGTCTTCTGTTCTCTTTCATTGCAAGTTGAATTATTTTAATATCTATTGCAAAATTTTGTACATAAAATGAAATAACACTTTTTAATATACAACGCTTTTATAAATGGACTAAAAATTATAAAATGAAATAATGTAAAAAAAAAATATTTTTTAAAAACAAGCTTTTATTAACATGTACAATCAAAGGAATAATATAAAGTAGTGTAACAAAAGATTTTTTAGCAAGAAAATTTTGTCAAAACTGCACTAAAATGAATAAAATAAAATAAGTTAAGGTCTCGTTAAAGTTACTAAAAGCCATTTAGTGAAAGGAGTTATTCAAACTCTAATGAAAATTACTAACAATTTGTACTAATTTACTTCGTTTTTAAAAAAGCTTGTCGCGCGAATAGTAAACCGACATTTAAATATCTGCATACATACATATACATACATACCTAACCAATTATGCATGTACGCTGAATTCGCCGACAAGCTTTTTTGAAAACGAAGTAAATTAGTACAAATTGTTAGTAATTTTGGCCTTTAGTAACTTTAACGAGACCTTAACTTATTTTATTTTATTCATTTTAGTGCAGTTTTGACAAAATTTTCTTGCTAAAAAATATTTGGTTACACTACTTTATTTTATTCCTTTGATTGTACATGTTAATAAAAGTTTGTTTTTAAAAAATATTTTTTTTACATTATTTTATATTACAAAACCTTTCTATTATTGAATCATGCGTTGTTCGATGTTCTTATAAGAACCAAAGTTCATCTAAGATTGCCAAGCAGGAAATAGAAGTAAGGAAAACAGTGTCACGAAATTTGCTATAAAAGTTTAAAGTCTGTAAGAAAGTCAATAATAGATAAGATTTAAGAAAATGCAATGCTAAAATATCAAAAATTTCACTTGTTTTTTTAGTACTTGAATTTAAAAATTGGAACATTGTATCCAATAAAAAGTTTTTAAAGGGTCGTAAATGAGGGCCACTAAATAACAAACTTAAAAAACTTGAAACTTGACAAAATTGTAAATTCTTTTCGATTGACGCTGCACCAGTCGAGAGGACTTTCAGTTATATTTATTGTTTTTTTTTATTGCGGTGCAATAATTCTTTTTTGAGAATTGCATCGGGCTGCAAATGTTGGATGTATCCTCCTGACTTTCATCTTCACAATCTAGTATCATGGCAAGATCGTTGTTTAAACACCGTTGCTTTCCAAAGAATTCTTCATTCTCATTCTTTTGGTTGTTTCTGAATTTGGAGAACCTGTAACGTCAACAGCGTTTTTCGACTTTAGTTTTTGTAATTAGTTTTTAATCCTTTCTTGTGCCTGGCCAGATATACGTTTTATCAGTGCACTTGCACAATATTCCAGGGACCGAAAATAACAGTTATTTTTTACCAGTTAAACTTGGCCTAATATTTTTTATTCCGAAATGAAAGTTTTTTCTGGATAATAAACAAACAGCTTATCAAAATTAAACAAATTTAATATCAAGGCATAACAAGGTAGAAGTGATTTCGACATTTCTCTCTTTTGAACTGCGACTGAAATGTCAAATCTTAACCCTATAGTATTCAAAAATTTTTTTTTATATAAATTTTCAATTGTGAGCTGTGCGACTGATTTTAAATACATAATAAAATGAAAAGGAATTGCGAGCGGTGCGTTGTGTTAGTCAAGAGCCTGGACAACAAACTTGTGCGTTATTTTAAACATTCGAATTGTCAAGTGAAGCAGCAACGGTGGGCAAATTGCTGCCATGTTTCATTAGGAGACTCTTCACATGTGGTCGTGACTTTATTTGTTGCCCATCGCAGGATTGGTCCCAGGTGCAGGATTTATCATACCGAATCTGCAAAGAAAATCTCCCTTTCATATACATACATGGATAGGCCAAATTTCAAATGGTGGTCTGATAAAACCTAAACCAGTATTCCTTGTTGACATAAAGAAACTGAAAGTAATTTTTAATAAATTTAATGGAAACGAAATATCGAATAGCAAAAATTTAATAGCTAAATTATTGAAGTTAAGTCCTGATGTAAATTTAGAAGAATCAAACTTTTTTAATGACTAATATACTTTAGAATTAAGTATTTCAATAAAAAAATAAATGCTCAAAAACATTGGGATAGCAAAAGCAAGAAAATTGTCAAAACGGTTTTATAAATTAGTGTGTTTGATTTAGTGTGTAATTTTGTGTAAGTATGCATTCCCATATTTACATTAAATCGAAAATTCAATAAATAAAATGAAGCTGATTCTAATGAGATTTTAAATATTTTCATATTTACAAAAACTTTAATTTCAAAGATGTTGAGTTTTATCAAATATGGTAAATGCATAACAAAGGGTTAACTTCTTTGTTTACATTTTTTGACATTACAGTCAGGTATGAGAGGGTTCGACTGAATTGTCACTTCTACCTTGTTGAATATGCTTTGATTTAATATCATGTGAAAGGGGACTGAAATAGCTTTTAAACAGAAATAACGAGCGAAGGTTACCACCTCTATTTATATTTTTTTATATCTTTTAATACTAAAGAAATTCATATACATGTTTGTTCTATGGTAATTAATTAAAATTTTTTATTGAAATATTTTTCAATGTGTGGCTTTCCTCGTTTAGATATTTCAGTTTTAAAGCTATTTAAGTCCTCTTTCATTTGATACCAAACTTGTTTAATTTGGATAAGTGGTTTGATTATTATCCGGAAAGGACTTTTAGTTGTGAATAAAAAATATTTGCCCAAGTTTAACTCGTAAAAAAATAACTGTTATTTTCGGCTCCTTCAATATTCGCATTCTCAAAAGATCCGCATTATTAATGCGAATGCGAATGTTAAAATTAAGGCGGAAGCTCCGCGGTTGCGAATGCGAATTCAAATATTCGCAACAACCCTGTTACATACATATTTATCTTCTCTATATCTCTATATATATATAACTAATTTGCGTACGTATGACCGCCCATAACTCGAAAACGGATTGTCCGATTTAAGTAGACTTTTTTTAGTTGTGTTTGTCTTTGCGCAAGCAAAAATGCTACGGAGAAAATTCCGATAGGTTGCGCTGGAATCGAGTTATTACTAAAAACCATATTTATATTCTTATGTTGGCCGTATTCTTTATATGCATCGCTAAGGGGAAGAAAAACATCTTTCCGAAAAATTCGACGGTTGGGGAAGTTATTTAAGACGACCACCCAACCTTAATATTAGCAGAAAAATCGCGAACGTGAGTTGTTTTGTGAAAATGTTGGACCAAAATGTTTCAATAAAAAAATTAATTTTGTACGAGACGAAGTTCGCCGGGTCTGCAAGTTTTTAATAAAAATAGTGCGATCTACGTAAGTAATAAAAATACCAAACACTGATAGTCGGGTTTGATTTGAAATATTATAACATTGGTATAAATATGGGAAGAAACATACTCCGATTTATTGTTTTAATATTATCAAAGGGGCAAGGCCGTTGATAATACTCACAACTTGTGAAACTTCAAACAATTTTATTATCCGTCAAAAGTTTTTTATTGAAACTGCCTTCTTTTTTGTATCGTGGGTACGGACATGATTTTAATTTCGATGAAACTGAAAAAAATATTGCTACTATGGATTCGGCTTGATTGTAGTTCAAAGTACCCATTTTCTTGTGAAAAGTATGAAAGAAAAAAATATAGTTTATGCAAAATTCAATTTCGAAAAAATATTGCTAAATTTTGCAAAAATACATACATATACATATGAATTTTTTACGTTTGACGTAGTCGAGGTCAGCATAACAAGTTACGAGTATGCAGTAGACCACCTGGTCCTAAAATTTTTTTAGGGAATATACATTTGTGTATGTGTTTGTGTGTGGCTATACGAGCGTATGGATATTTGATGTACTGCACCATATTACGAAATGTTTGCTTCATAATTGTGCTTCTTTGCTGGGCTAAATAAATTTAATTTTATAATGCTACTCGTGACATTTTCATTTTGTGTTTTTAAATTTTAGAATTTGCAATCCCGTGGAATTACTACGGACCGCACACGCCTATGTCTCCTTTTGCAGCGCACGAAGTGCCAAGGTAAGCAAAACTACGAGAACTTCAAATGAAGATTGTATGTATGCCTGCAAAGACTTCTATGTATGCATGATAAAAAAATAGGAAGGTAGAACCGCTGAGAGGAATTTTTCAAATTCTTGACGTTTGCAAGCAATTTAATTTTAAAATTTTACACACAAACTCACACACACACTCTCATTTTCAATCGCAAACAGCAACAACTTTGAACAATTCCTTTTTTTTACTCTAAATTTTATATGATTTTAAAATGTTGGCAAACTTCAAAAAAAAAAACATGGCCGACGAATTGAGAGAACGGTTTTACCTTACTATGTTTTTATCATGCTATGTATGTATATGTAAATGTATGCATGTTGAAACGAATACAGAAGGTGGCGCTGATTGTGATATCGCTACCTCTCTCTTGCACATTTTGACGGAAATGTGACGTCATAGTAGATTTTGTGTATTGCCTGTGTAATATACATATACATGTACATATGTATACAAAACATATACATACTGCCAGATCTCTCTCAGCTCTCTCCACTGGCAAATCTGCAAATCTGTGATGACGTCATATTCATCTTACTCTCCCGAATTTCACAACAATCAGCGCAATTATGTATTCTATCCATGGTGAAACAAAAAAGGTGCAATCCCGTATTCCTCGGACTAAAAATAGTAAAACTGTCAAAAAATAAAAATTCGCTCAGAGCGAGAGAGTAACATTGAAAAGTACGGGATCGCTTTCTAGTATAAAATGGTAACTTCTGTCAACTTCAACATAACATCCAAATTTTGGTTGTAAATTTTTGCTCACACTCAGCTCACACATGTAAATAACCAAAAATACTTTCAAATTCATTAGAATCCACTTAAACAAGTAATTAAATACTTTTAACATGAATTAGCAGAGTGCACTTTTCTTTTGATTACAATATGGTTGCCAAACACACTACAGCTGATCGTTTGACCCATTTACCAGAATTTACCAGAAAATATTTCTCGGACTAAAACTTGTGACAGAGAGAGAACGGTATTTACTCTCTTTTTTGTACTCTCAATAGTCAGAGAACCGAGACGGGATCGATCTCCAGTAAAATCTGACTATTTCTGACTGGTCCGGACTCGTACGGGATCGCAACTATACAGAAGGTGGCGCTGATTGTGATACCGCTAACTCTGTCTTGGAAATTTTGACAGAAGTATGACGTCATATGAGATTTTGTGTATTGCTTGTGTAATATACATATACATTGCATATGCAAAACATCCTGATAGATCTCTCTCACCTCTCACCACCGGCGATGACGTCATATTCACGTTACTCTCCCGAATTTTAAATCAATCAGCGCAACCTTGTATTCTATCGGTCTTGATATGTATGTATACAGATTGGCTCGCAGAAAAATATTTACAGTTACCATAAAAATACAAATTTTTGTGAGTGAGTAATTTTTCCAGGATCCTTGAGAGGTAGTGGGGGCTATTATAGAATCCATCGTAGCCCGATTTTTCGTGAAATCTACGAAAATGCGATCACTGCATCCGAAGTGCTACGAACGTGTGTATTCAAAGTATACGCTACAATCGTGGCTATTCAGATTCAGTGATGGCATTTTCGTAGATTTCATGATGATGCGGAGCCTACTTGCAGGATAGCAAGACATATCTGGCCTAAGCGGGACAAGCGTAGATCTCGCCCTCTCCTCCGTTTGGAGCGACCACTGCTTCAACATCTTATCGGAATTCTCACCGGGCATTGCCTGATGGGAACCCACGCTGCTAGAATAGGTTAGCACTCAAACGAATACTGTCGTAGCTGGCCTGATGAGGAGAAAATCAAAAGCGGTGAGCCACTACCTACGCCACTGTAACGCTTTGGAGAGAGCTCGTTCCTCCATTATTGTTTCGAATGTCTGGCTGAACTGGATACAGCCATTATCTATGACTTTTTGCGCTTCATCTGAGCTATGAAGTGGTTCCATATCTAAGGTAAGAGGAGGAACATATGGAGTCTCTAATATGGCATCACAACGGGCCCATAGTGACCTAAGTGTGCCCTTTTCCTGAGGAATGAGGGCAGCCGAGATAACTCAACCTAACCTAACCTTCACGAAAACTCGGACTCGGATGGATTTTGTAATAGCTCTGAGTATAACTACGGTGGCCATATTCTTCAAATAAAAATAAAGAACTTTTTCAAAACAATTTGGTTTTACGTAAAATATCAATTAATAGATATGTATGTATTATTTAATTGCAGAAGTTCGCCTTCTTTATTTCCGTTGTAACCGTGCTTTACTCAATTCCGAAAAGCAGGTCAATAGTTGCTCTCTTTTGTCAATGCTTTTTGGAAATTCCGAATGCAGCTGATTACTTCCTCACTCGGTCTTGCATCGTAGAGAAGCCCTTTGTCATCTTTTGATAACCAAAGCGTTCCGCATTAAATGATTTCATTTGTCATAATTCGTGCGACACAATCAAGCCAGCAGGGCCGGTGTGTATTCATTCAATACACCGATTTCCAAATAAAAGTCCTCTACTTTTTCGACATTATTACTGTCAACAATCACGCAAGTACACTGACTGCTTGTTTGATGGCAGAAGATACTTTGTCTTGTCCTCGTGTTTATTGGTACGGTATACTTAAATTTCAGTCGGTAGCCTTAGTGAAATCGAAGACTTCAAGTAGTCGGGTAGGGGCTTTTTTTCATTAAAGACGCTGACATTCCAAATCATAAGCAAAGATCTCATTCGAGGTTTATTGTTACTTTTCAATGGAACTGGTGGGTTTAAAATCAAGCGTTCTCAACTTTTTCTGGTGGTTTTGAGTAGAATAATACTCTTGTAAATATTTTCGTTTTCGTAGGAAAAAGGGCAATTATCGATATAGTTTTTTGAATTAAACACATAAGTATGTACATACATATGTATACTTCGTTACATTTCCGATCGTTTGTAATTTAAAGGTTGTTCAAAGATTACTGATTAAAGATAAACTCTTAAATTTGGTTCATAACTGCCAAGCGATATATTTAATTAGATTCTACAAGATCCATTTTACTTATTGAGGTTCCCTATTTCGAAATTGGCTTTTGAAAAAGTCAGTTTAATTCAAAGGACGAAGACGGAGGAATTAAGGACGTCCTTTTTTTGGTAAAAGCACAGAGGGGTAAAAAGGACTGTCCTTTAGGTATAGCGCTCAAAAAATATATTTCAATGATGTCATAGATAAAAAGATACAAGAAAACCGATTTTGGCTACTTATTTATTTTCAAAACGTGTCTAGGACCAAAATTTTGGTATCGACGATGGTGCTGGTAGTTACAAACTTTTTTTTTAACGAGGCCGATCCGGTCTAATACATACATATGTGTGTGTGTACATGTGTAAAGCCAAGGCAGTAGAGAAAAGCTTCTATATTTAATTACGTCTGATGTTTTTTTATATCCAAGAAGTACATATGTATGTATAGATATATTTTAGCATAAATACGTACATATTATGTACATACACTTTTATATACATATATACTGATGCATTTACATACATATTGATATATTTATGTAGTTATACATACATGTACATACATTTCAGATATCCAAGACTAGATGTCAAATTGGTGGGCTATGCTTCTTTCGCGCCAAAAAATGTCAAGAAAGAAGTACATGACAAACTGCGCGGAAACTTGCGACGCCAACTATTTAATCATTCTAAAACCCCTACTGAAGATTTACTCGCCGACGGCCAACATGCTACTGCAGAAACAACGCCGATGCCCGATAATTTACTCCAATTTTCTACAGCCATTGAATTAGAGCAAACGCACAGTGCAAGAAAACGACAGTCTGAACACAATATTACTTACCAAAATTTTCGTCATACCCTCTACAATCATAACCACGACCACAACAACCATAAACGTAACCTGCATGAAAACATTGACGAAGTAGGAAAGCAATCAATAAGTTCTAAGCAAATGATTCATCGTAAATCATTGCAATTACATAACGAAGGCCAACGTCCTCGAGCTCATAATCGACGCAATAGTCACCGCCGAAATCATCAACACCACCAACTACACCAACAGCATCCCCCAACCACAAGCCTAATTTCAGCAACACACTGAGAAATCCACCAATAGTAAATTTTCGCTCCAGTGAACAATTTTATCAAATATGTACTTCATTCAAGTACTTGAAGAGGTCGAAAGATGCCACGAGAGACCCAAATGCACAACATACATATTTAATAGTTAGAGTAACAATCTTAATTGTCCAAGGCCGGTCAACTTAATTAGATATTAACAGATATTAACAGTTTATGGAAGTAAAAATATTGACTATATATATTTGACTATTCTAAAGTCAATAGCTTCATTTAAACACTTAGATATACACAATCATATATAGAGGAGTTATTATTTTAAAAATCGTAACCTTTTTTGAATTTATAATTTAGATTCAGCTAAAACTTTTTTTAAAGTTGTATGTACTAAACCATTTGTGCAACAGCATCAATGCTCACAGCAAAAATATGAGGAGAAGCTTGGCCAAACACTTAGCAAACACCGTAAGCTCCAAAATATTATTATTATTATGCATTAAATATGTAAGGAAATACCTGTTCTGGATTCTGTCGAAAAAAATTTATTTTCAGAGATACGAAGGTTTTAAGTTTTGATAATTTACGACTATTTACCGAACTTTGTTCAAAATTCCATGTCAGTACCTGTTATGTCCTGTGATAAGTGAAACGCATTCGTTCAGTCTTGAGTTCAATTAGCAACTGACTTTATTTCATCTAATAAAATCTACTTACATATGTACATATACACACAAGCAAAGTTACTCTCATCTGTTTGTTAGGAGGCATGTTGACGTGAGGCTGCGTTCACATTAGGCAAACACATAACACGCTCCTCCTCAAGAAATTTGTTTTATTCACAATCACTACTGTATCTCTTAGTCGTTGCTTCAAATAAATTTAATTCATACATGTTCGTTTCTTATTGATATGGTATACGTTTTTGTTAAAAATCTAGAACTTATATCTAACATTGTTTCGTGGACGTAATTCTCTACGTTCTATCTGATGGTTTCCACTATCGCTAGATATATTTTCCAGCCTTTCATTTTCATTTAAATTATTTTCTTGATTCGGATCATTTCGATGTGGGGATTCAGTAGCGTCATTATTCTCAGCAGACGGCGATTGATTTACTTCAGTTCTTGGATCCTCCTCCAACAACTCAACATCAATGTTCGGTGTGGACGCGGTTTTAATTTGATCTGTATGTCTTTTAATTAATCTATTGTTATGATCAAATATACAATTGTAAGTTCGTGGACCAATCTGAGATCGAATTGGTGTTGAAGACCAACTTGCTTTGTTAGGATATTTGTAATCTCGCCCGGATAATTTTTTTACTATTTTCTTGGCTACACAAAATATTTTCTGTAATTTGAGGTGGTTTAATAAAATCAAAACGAGTTTTAATGGATCTGCCTAAAAAGAGCTTAGCGGGTGTTTCATTTGTTGTACAATGTTTTGTTATCCTATACTCCTTTAAAAATCGATTCAAGATTATTTCAAAATTCGTTTCGTGTTCGTTGTGAAGATTTGCATTTAAAGATTTATTTAAAGTTTTTATGAAATTTTCAACTTGGCCAATGGTCGATGGTTACCCTGGAGCCGTAAGTACGTGTTTTATATTGTTAAGTTTTAAAAAGTTTTTAAACTCTTCCGAGACGAAGTAACGACCATTACCACTCACGACTCACGACTGTATTGACAATTCCGAAACGACAAAAGTTTCACGAAGTTTTGAAATACAAAATTCGAGGTCATGTGCTTAGTTTTAAAAACTTCCACCCATTTGGAATACGCATCTATAAGTATTGTATTGACAATTCCGAAACGACAAAAGTTTCACGAGGTTTTGAAATAACAAAATTCGAGGCCATGTGCTTAGTTTTAAAAACCTCCACCCATTTGGAATACGCATCTATAAGTACTAACAAGAAAACCTTTAAGTGGGCCAGCGAAGTCAATGTGTATTCTATTTGGCAAAAGTTCTTGACACGAAATACATTGCTTGGTTAAGCTTTCGATATCACCATCGAGTTTTGGCCACCATATATATGATCCTGTCAATGCTTTTCTTTTGACAACCCCCAAATGAGAGTCATGTATCTTTTCAAGTAAGTACTTGCGTAATTTTAATGGAACTACGACTCTATAACCCCATAGTAAGCATTCTTAGTCGACTGTTTATTCTGAGCTTTTATTAAAGTATGTAGCGAATTCATCGCCTTTCATATTTTTCAGTGTAGCTGTTTTTACGGCATCGCAAACTTTCGATAAAACCGAATCACGGCGTGTTTCACGCGCAATATCTTTGAAATTTATATTAAGGGTATTTTCAGCTTTGATATGACATACAAACGATTTTTCATTATCTTGTTGTTCAAATGCATGTTGATGAAGTATTGACAAAGTATCAGCTTCATTTAACGATCCATTTATGTACTCAATTTTATAATTGAAACCTGAGAGTATAAATGCCCACCGTTGCATTCTTGCCGCCGCCATCAAAGGATGTCCTTTGTTTTCCCCAAATATGGTTAAAAGTAGTTTATGGTCCGTTCGCAATACGAAACAGTGTCCTATTAAATATTGCTTTAATTTAGTTACTGAAACGATTATGGCTGGTACCTCTTTTTCTGATGTGCTGTAGTTCTTTTCGCTTTTTGATAAAGCCCTTGATACGAACGCAATTGGTTGTAAACTTTTGTCAGGCAATTTTTGTGATAAAATCCCTGATACTGCATTCGAAGATGCATCAGTGGTAAGAACTATAGTTAATTTGGGGTTAAAATGAAGGAGAACTTGATCAGAGGTGATTTCTTTCTTAATATTTTCGTATGTGTCTTGACATTTACGGGATAAATGAAATTTTTCATCCTTTTTCAAGAGTTTGTACAACAGTGACATCTTTTCGGCAAAATTTTGCATTAGTAATTCACATGTCCCACGAATGCTCTTAGTTCGGAAACATTTTTGGGTACAGGTGCCTGCAAAACAGACGAAATTCTTTTTGCGGTTTTAGGTAAACCGTTTTTGTCAATATTGAATCCAAGATAAGACACTTGTTCTCGAAAAAATTAACATTTTGAACTATTCAAACGTAAACCTGTAAACTGTAGTTTACTCAAAACCGATTTTAAATTTTTGATATGTTCGGTTAAGTCTCTACCAGAAACTGTGATATCGTCCTGATATACTACAACATAGTTTTTTGGAAAATTGGTGCTGCGGGCTTAACCCCGAATGGTAATCGTCTCATCTTGAAACAACCTGTGTGTGGACCATGTACACAACCGTTGCGAATCTTCATCTAACGCCCGTTGATTGTAAGCATTGGACAAATCCAGTTGTAAACAACTGACCTCCCTGTAGAGACGCGAAAATATCATATATTAAACGTAGAAGATACTGAAAGTCACGGAGATGTTTATTAATGGTGACCTTATAGTCTCCACATATGCGTAAATCCCCGTTGGGCTTTAATATTGGTACTAAAGGTGTTCCCCAATCAGCATTGTCTATAAGCTCTAAAACATGTTTACTTATCAAACCACGTAAATTGTTTTCAATTTTTCTCTTCCAAGCTAAAGGAACCGGTCGCGGTTTAAAAAAACTTCGGGTTAGCATCAGATGCAATTTGTAATCATCTTTAAAAACTTCACCAACATCATTTTGAAAACTTTCGGTTCTGGCGCCAACTTCACCTTTTAATTCAATTGCTGTTACGGTCTGCACTAAATCAAAATTAAATAATCTCAAGAAGTCGCATCCAAGCAAAGGCATTTTGTTTGTGTCTGTAACTACGACATTAAAATTTTTTTTAGTACCACGATATTCAATTATTACTAAATATTCGCCCTTAACTTTTATTGCATTGCTACCGTAATCAACATATGGCAATGAACACTTTTTCAAACTTACATTTTTGTTTAATTTTTCAAATAAACACATTGATATTAAACTGCAGGGTGAGCCAGAATCACAAGCTATTTCCATTTGTTGGCCATCCAATTTTCTTGAGAGATAATAATAGTTAGCTGAATTCCCACTTGAAATGCTGTAAATACAAAAATTTTGATTAGCAGAATTCATGCAACTGTTATTATGGTTGGGATTATCTGATACATAATTTACACTTTTATTTTTATTTCTGCATACATTCGCTAAATGACCAATTTTCGAACAGCTGTTACAGCGGCTCTCTTTATATCGACATCAGTGTTGCCGTTTTAGCCCTTTGGTGGAAACATTTAGCTACCACATACTTTTTTTTGGCCACATAAATTTAAACCGCCCCTAGCCCTTTTTTTAGCCCTTTTTAGAATTTATTCATACTTGGTATGAAAAAGTTGTATGTGTTTAATTTATTTTTTTTGCATCTATGTAAGAGATGAATTTTTAAACTAAGAAAGACTGATATATATACATATGCCCCTTACGCTTTTATACATACATACTGTAAAAGTGTTGGGGCTGTTAACTTATCTGTTAACGATTTAACTATAGTTTAAAATAGATAAGTCCACGGCCCTTAATATGCTAAATTTGTTAAATGACCCATCAAGTCGATTGACCGTGTATGTTCTTGTGGTGTGATTGTACCAGCATGCTGGTGTCGTTAGTGGTGAAATTAGCTCAATGTTCTAAATAAAAAGTATTTTGGCGGAAATTTCTTGCACTATATGAGTCAAAGCCGTGTTTGTGGAAGATTACGTTCACGATATTGCATTTGTGAATTACAAAAAAAAAGACAATGTTTAACAAAATGCTAGAAAAATTTTGAAATTTCGGCTCTAATCATTTCGATATAAATATTGTACCAGCATGCTGGTAAGTTATATGCTTCGAGCCTGATGGTACAATCACTTATATTATTATCACGTATATTACCCCTTTTATAAAAAAAGGTTTTTGGTTGAATAAAATATTAGCTTTTTTCCAAAGTTCATTGTTTTATTATACCATTACTTATTGAAAATGTTTAGGGGTTTACTTATATATGTATATGTGGAAAAAAATTTTAGCTACCATTTTTAGCCA